CACTGCTGTCAGCTGTGACAGACAGGTAAGCTTGCTGTTTAGAATCAGATACTGCTAGGCTCAAGAGCTGCCTCTGACCTGGAGCCTGTGTCATCTAGGGCAAGTCACTTAACCTCTCTGAACCTCACCCATAAGAAGAAAATAATAAATTCTATTGTATGGCAGAATTGAAAATAACACAGGAAAGGCAGCAGGCCTCTGGACAGTCACTAAGTGGTAGCTGTTGTCTCCATTAGATTTTCAGCAGTGACGACACTGGGCAGACTATGGCTGACATCTTGGCAGGCGTGACCCCATCTGGATGACCAACAGGAGACTGGCTGGTAACTGCACTCCCTGTAAACACATTCCCAGCATCAGAGGAAGCCAGAAATCTCCATGCTTCTTAATCCTTTGGCTGAAGGCACTGAAAACTCTAGCCAGGCATCTCTGATTTTAATACCATCTAATAAGAACTTTATTTATACAATCCCATGTAATCTTCGAATCTTAGAAGATGATCAAGGTAGATGTTATCTCCATTTTGTGGACCAGAAAACCAAAAACTTCAGACTTGGAGTCAGAAAATCTGAGATTGAATCCCAAATGTGCCACATGAGTTGTACAACCTTGAGCTTATCATTCCACTTGTTTTATCTCTTAGGCTCAGTTTTTTAATCTGTAAAATGGGTTTCTGATACTAGGAGAGATTTTTATTTGAGATTCCTAGCACAGAACCTGGAACATGGCAGGATTCAGGAAATCCTGATTCGGACTGTAAGGCCAAATCAGACCTCATCTGACCCAGCATTGCCATCCATTTCTTCAGCCCATTTGCAGTGGGAGATACATCAGGTAAGATCACTTAAAATCTCACAGTCTTTGCAAAAACGGTTCTCAGGGGGCTGGTAATTTCTAAGACTCTGGATGCACAAAGTTGCTGCCAGAGCCCAGAACCTCCTGACCTGTTGGAATGCCTTGCTCAGATTATGAAAGATAGTCGTGGATTCTCAGTATTTTCCCCTTTCTGCAGTCAGTGGAGGGCTGATGCTTCTAGACCACACTACCCAGGACACTCTAACTCTGTTAATGGCCTATAAATTGGGGAGGAGCCATGGAACACACGCTTACTCTCCTCCCGATGTCTCACAGGAATGCATTTTAAAATTGCCTATTCAGTAAAACTTCGTTGTGTGCCTACTAGGTACCAGGCACATGCTAAACAGATACAAAAAGGCGTAGGACACCAACAATGTCTACTGGGTAGTAAGTAAGGCAGATTTACAATCAGGAACAAGGCAGTGTGATCAAGGTTACAACAGGAGAGCAAATGAAATGTTACAAAAACAATCTAACTTTTCCAAGGAAGTCAAAGATTTCACATGGAAGATAGCATTGATCTGGGTTGTAAAGCATGGAAGATGCTTACCTGGTGAGGCAGGGAGTCCCCTGATGGAGGAAATGATGCTAACTAACAATGGTCGCAAGTCCTTAGGAAGATTCAGCTGGCCATGGTTCTTCCCCACTTCCTCCCTGTCTTTGCTGTTGATACCCTATTCATTAAGGTGCAGAATTCGGGGAGTTTCCCCAGACTTTCTTCTCTGACCCTCACAAATGATCGGTTGCCATGTGCTGCCTTTTCTGCTCCCTAAATATCTGCATGTCTTAGCTTGGTCATTTCTTACTGGAGGACTGCTGGCAGCATCCTCCATGGTCATTACCGCTTCTTGTTTCAGTCTCCTTCCAGCCATTCTCCACCTGCACACAGAGCTCTTTCTAATATGTGAATCTCACCTTGACACCTCCATGGCCTGTGGCTCGTTCCCCCATTCACACTGGAGTCCCCACTCCTCAGCATCGTGCTAAAGATTCTTCATACTCTTGCTCCTATTTGCCTCTTTATACTCTTTTCCTGCTACTCCCCAGCCCACACACACACAACTGTCCACAATCCAACCCCACAAAACCAAATTAGGCTCCCCATATCCATATGCCTTCATCTCTGCCATTTCCTAGCCTCTTTCCTTCCCAAGGAAGAGCAACAGCCCAATTCCAGCCACTGCCTCTGGCTTCTGATCACTCCCTTCCCTCATATGCATCACAGAAATCTTCCAGGTGCATTTTAATCATAGGCTTCCTTGCCTGATCCACTCAGTAAACTAGCCCTTGAGGGCGGGAGCATTAGCTTGGCCATTTCTAGTGCCTAACATAAGACCCAGTGCACATTTCACAAGTGAATGAAGGGGACTCAAAGAGATCTATTTATTTTCCAACAGTCACTCATGCAGCAAATGTTAGCTGAGTGCCTACTCTGAGCCCTACTCTGGGTGTTGGGGATGTAGCACTGAACAAACAAAAGCCCTTGTTACATTCCAGTAGGGTTTTACACTGACCCTTAGAATGCATTCCTCCCTCCCTCCCTCCCTCCCTCCCTTCCTTCTTTGGTTAACACTCATTTAATGAGCAGCACCCTGAAGGCCATTTTATAATTTTCACCACATACACACACACACACACACACACACACACACACACACACACACACCCCAAACAGTGGCTTAGTATCTATATCTCCTATCCAGTCCACCTCTCAAAAAATTATAAGCAATGTGAATTTCTGAGTAGACATTTGTTGAAGTTCTGCTATTTGGGCAGATGGTTAACTATGAAAAGCTGGGAAGCATAGTACCAAGTCTGCCCTTCAATATGTCCTGATATATCCCAATTTATGAAAAAAAAGGTTAAGAAACATAAGAAAAATTCAAACAGTGACCACTGTTGTTCACATGCTCTTGTTTATAGGGCAGTGGAGAATTTCCAGGCCAATTTTCAGCAAGTAGTGCACCTGTGAACATCACAGAAGCTTCAGCCCCTTGCTGCTGAGTCCTAGCGCTGTCACATCCTGAGATCCTGTGCCTGGAGACCGATAAGACAGGCCAACCAGCCTCCTTTCCAGAAAGCGGGATTCCCCTGTGCCTGGGATCCAGCCAGACCTAGGGGCTGGAAACTCCCCATAGGGCCACAGGCTCTACTGAACTCTTTCCAGAGGAAAAATTCCTGAAGTTCCATTTCCTCTCTGGAAACTCTGACAAGGAGTTTGCCTGTCCCAGTGGAGACATGCACACTACTGGGATTCCACAGCCCCCTCTGGGGTTTCAAGTCTTTATATGGGAAAAGGGCACATGGGAAACTGTCCCAGCCTGACTGGTCTTTGGAAGTGATGGAAAGTCCATTTCTAATTCCAGGCTCCTCTGGGGGCTCTTGTACTTCCCCTCAGGACTGTCCTGTCCCTGTTCTCTGATTAAGAGGTGTGTCCAGTAACTGTGCCTTAGGAGGTACAGGCAGCTCATGTACACAAGGGGCTTGTCTATTTCTCACACTGGAAAGGACTGTTCGTGAAATCCACTACCACCTCCTCTCCAACAGAGGAGAAAGCTGAATGCCACGTGCTTTAGTTTTCTTCGGCTGCCAAGGCGCAGACTGAGTGGCGTGAGCAGTAAACATATGTGTTTCACGGTTCCGGGCTGAGTCTGAGACCAAGTACTCACAGTTTTGGTTTCTTCTGCAGGCGCAGCCTTTGGCTTCTCTTCCCTCAGCGCGTGTTCATCCCTAGTGCCTCTTTCCTGTGTCCAGACTTTCTCTTCTCATAGGACACCAGTCTTGCTTAATGAAGGCCTACCCTAGTGACCTCATTTCAACTGAATTATCTTTTGTGAGGTGCTGTCTCCAAAGAGAGCCACATTCTCAGGTAGTCAGGGTCAGGACTGACAAGTCTGGGGGACCACAACTGAACCCATGGCCCCAGGAAACCCATAGCTTCTACCAGACCTGTATAAATAAATCGATGAGTGAATGAATGATGAGCTAGACCAGAGTTTCTCAACCGCCACACTACCGACAGTTGGGCTCGTGCTATGAACTTCATGTTCATGTTCTCCATGATTCACATGTGGCAGCCCTGCCCCACTGGGATAGTATTTGGAGTCGGGGCATTTCAGGGGCAGTTCAGTTTAGACAAGATCATGAAAGTGGAACCCCATGACGAGATTAGTTCCCTTACAAGGAGATGGAGAGGCCAGAACACTCCCTGTCTCTGCCATGTGATGACAGAGGAGAACGTGCCTTCCACAAGCCAAGAAGCAGCCTTGGTGACCCACATATTCTGGAAAGCCAGCCCGTCTATTGTCCTCCATACAGCAGACCAAATGCACTGAGGCAGCCAGCTGGTTCTCAGTGGTGGGGGCTGTGCTGTGAGCTGTAGGACATTCAGCAGCAACCTAGGAGCTACCAGTGACTTCACCTCCCAGCCACTGCAACTGAAAACCCTCCCCACACTGTCAGTGTTCCCTGGGAGAAACAAATGCCCCAACTGGGAACCACTCACTGAGCCGGCTGTGAGTGCCCAATGTCAGGAACTGTATCAGAAGCCACCAGACACCCAGTATCAGCCCATACGAGACCGGCACTCAATCAGCATTCACTGGACAAAGATTAAAGTTCCACAAGTTGCTAAAAAGATCAACTATTCCAGACTCACTTTTTCCATAGGATTTGGTCACTTACTATTTACATCATCCAGTGTATCTCATGTAACTCCTTTAAACCTGCTTCCTTGGCTGTTACAGAGAAATACCCCAAATTCCAACATGGTGATCCTGCCTTCTAAACCATAAAATGTGATATAAATGTGGATTAATTATTAACTGATTCTCAGAATGTGCTACTACCTCACATTAACTGTGGCCTGAAATAACTTCAGAAGTGCATATTCCTAATTATCACAGGCCTTCAGTATTTCCCTAATTCTTCCTCTCTCCAGAAGTTGGGGTGCTTCCCGGATTTTATAAACGTATGTCCCTGCCCCTCGTCCTTTTCTCTTTAACTTCAGACTCACAGTGAGGTCTTCCAGTCTACAGTTCTTCGGAAAAGGCCTGACCTCAGCAACTCTGGGAGACCTGGGTTGTTTGCAATACCCCGACTTCACAATATTCAGAAAAGGTATTTTCTACCCAAATACTAACCTTCCTTCATGACTTACTGATCTCCCAACCTTTGCTCAGTAAGCTTCCAGACAGTTAACCCTTCTGTCCTCCGTCCACTAACGCCCCCTCAGCCCGCCTCGCGCGGGAGTGGATGGCATTGGGCAGGCCTGGGGTCCAGGCCGCAGATTCCCACGCAGCCCTCCCTCTATGCCTCGTTCCAGAAGGAAACATCAGCGAGAGCTCTCAGAAACGTGATCCTGGGCACAGGAGAGTGCATGGAATCTGCTTTTTAAACTAGGGAAGACAAGTCGTGTTTCTATGAGCACTAAAACAGCAGAATTTACATATGCTTTTTTTTTTCCATCTAAGTAAACTAGGAGCCCACCCAAAGACAAAGCACGAGCGCCACCTCTCGGAGAAACGGCGGCACTGCTGCACTGCTTGCACTGCTGCGCAGGCGCCGTCAGTCCAGATGCCTGTCGGAGCAGGCCTCAGCCCACCCTGCCGGCCTAGGCCTGGCAGGCCCAGACAAGGTCTGAGGTGGATCTCTGCATGCACGGGGTCGGCTAACTGGGGACTGAACTCGGCCTGTGCACTGCGCTGCACTCCCAGCCGTTTCTACTTGAAACGAGGTCTCGCTAGATGCCCCGGTAGCTTGAACTTGCAGGCCAGCGGAGTGCTGGGATCCCAGGCCTGCGCCACCACACCAAGTCAGAAGTGGCCTTGCCGCTGGCACTCTTGGCCCCTTCGTGCTCGGATGACCTTGGACTCACCACAAGCAGTAAGCCCGGCCCGGTCATATGCTGCAGTCATCCCCATGGCCCAGGTCCTGCCTCCATTTCCCGCTGGAGCTGGACCCTTCTTTAAGCCTGAGCTTTCTTCCTGAATGGACTCGAGTAGCTCAGGCTGCCCTCCCTGCTGCTCAGGCCTGCTTTAAAGACGGCCACTCACAGCCCATGGGTGCTGCCACTCTCCTGGGCCCTCCCACTTCGAGGGAACTCGCTTCCACAGTGGACCTTCCCGTTGGGACACACACGAACTTGCCCTATCCTTGGGACACTGCCGGCTGGATCCGACGGCTGCAAGGGCCCAGTGCTCCTGTCAGTTAGGTTTCCCAGCTCCACCTGTTCTCTCCGGCTTTCTCTCTTCCCTGAGGCCATGTCGCTACAATTTCAACATGCTCCCCCCACAGCTCATTTGAGTGACGGCATAGCCACCCAAGCCAGAGACCCAGTGCACCTGGCACAGAGCCTCCAGCCAGCTCAGGATGCAGACCAGCAAGCTAAGCTTTCCCACACAGATCTCAGGCATGCTGGTGAGGAGGGTGCTGGGGTGAGGACCACACCTTTACACGGGTACCGGAGTCAGAAGATGAGTAAACAAGTGGTGCGGGCTGGGTGCAAGACGACCCAGGTCACAGCCAAGGGTCCTGCACGGCTGCTGTGATGAGAGTCTTGTGTCCTGTTGGCTGGGTCGTGGTGCTCAATATCTGGTCAAACATTATTCTGAAGTTGCTGTGAGTGTGTTTGCTGGATGAGCTGAACATTTAAATCAGTGGACCTTGAATAAAGCCGATTTCCACCCATATTGCAAGGGCGGCCTTATCCAACATTTGAACAAAGTCTAATCACCAAGCAAGAAGGCAGCCTGCAGCAGACAGCCCTTAGACTCCGACTGCACCCTGCTGCCCTGGATCTCAAGCCTGGTGGCCGTGACTTCTGCTTTCACAATTGTATGAGCCAGTTTCTTAAAACCTCTCTCTCTCCTCTCTTTCTCTTTCCACACACATGACCCTTACACTCTGTTTCTCTGGAGAACCCTGACCACCACACCTCAAGAGATCAACAGGCATTACTCAGATTTAGCTAATCATGAAGACTCAACAAAAATGTTTTTGAGCCCACCTCGGGGCCATCAGTTGGAATGTCTGAGCTAGAATCAAGGCAGAGAGGACCAGGGGCTGTGCTTAGTCAGGATCCCAGATCTCTGCCCACCCAACTCCGGAATGTCGCGTCCTGCAGCTCCAGCTGCTTGTCGTGTCTCCCTCTGACCATGATATTTGTGGGGTTAGGGTTAGGGTGCTGTGTGGCAGATGCAGGCATCCTCCTCGGCTTACAGACGAGGGCTGCGCTGGGCCAGGCCCCACCATGGCAGAGGCATGGGTGAGCACACTCTGCACCACCAAGCTGGCTTAGCGGCCATGTTTCAGTAACAGCCTGGTTTGCTCACCTCCAACCAAAGACTGCAACAGCAGCCCTGCACTGGCTGTCAAGGCTCACCACAAACACAGGCAACACACATGGAGAATGCATTGGGATTCTCCCACAGAATAACAGCTTTATCACCCCAGCATAACCCAAGCATTCTCCTCACAGCTGCAGCCAAAGCAGTAAATCAAAAGCGGAAATGAGAACCCGACACAGCCCTGTTCAAGCCCCTCTGTGGCTAATGGACTGCCCGTCTCCTGTCAGTGTGTGCTGCGGGAGGTGGAGCGGGCCTGTCTTCAAAAGTGATCAAGTGGCCACCCTGGAGGTGAGAGGAGAGGATGCAGCAGCCAAGGCTGGCTGGCCAGGGTGAAACAGAGGTGGCAGCCTTGGTCCTACGGTGGTCCTAGGCCTCCATCCTGCTGCTTAAGGTGGTGCAGCCTGGCTTCTCAGTGCCCACCAAGTCTTCTGTGTGGTGCCCTCTTTCTCTTCCCAGGGAGACAGAACCACTAAGTCCAACCTTGCATTTCTGCGACTCAGGCAGAGAGGGGGGTCTGCCGTGAGGCTCTGTTTCCTGTGTGTGAAAGGGCCACTCACCCCCACCATTGCTCAGGCTGACGTAATATGGGATGTCAAGCTGGCTCCAGAGGGGTTTTTGGCAAAAGGGGAACTAAAGTAGACCAGGCTTTTTGCCAAATTCTGTTCTTGTAAAAAAGTCAGTTACCCTTTCTGACCAGACATATAAAATGGTCTGTAATAAATGTCTCCTGAAAATGTTGGGGGAATTTTTCCATCTTTACATGCGAAGGTTATAAGGGAGTCATTGAAGCACAAATTAGTCACGCAAGCTATGGAAACCACATATCTAATCAAGACCAAAAAGGAAGAAGAAAAGAAATGCCGAAAGTTCTGTTCCCTTTATCTGTGTTTCTTTCTAATTGTCCTGAAGGTTGAAGATTACTTTCATAGATCTGCTTGACATGTTGAGATGACATGGCTCAGGACCTGGAGGCTTGGAAAAGATAATGTGGCAGATGCAGTCAGTAACAAATGCCCCAGGAGGATGTCTGGGAATCTGAATGTGGGTGCCGGAAGGGCCCCAGAGCCCTTTGAGTTAGGGCACCGAGTGCTTTATGTGAAGTAACTGACCTAGAAGGCTGAGCACAACGAAGTCTCCTGACACAAGGGTCGTTTCTCTTCTCCATACATTAGTGGTCTTCCAACTGGACATGTGCATAAAGATCTCCAGAGGAAGTTTAGCAGGGACAGGTTCCAGATGCACAATTATGAAAGGCACACTCTCCTACAAAACTGATCTGTGTATGGAAACACCCTACAAGCAGCAAGGCAATTCCCTTTCCTCACTGCCTTCTCTATTCTTCACCCATTCTGGGAAAAAAGACATATTCCACAACAAAGAGAGGAGTGACTCAAAATGCTGTCTCTACAGGCTCCGTGAGTAAGGAGATGAGCCCCACACTGTATTTACCACTCAGAGAAGCCTCTCTAAAACCATTTTACCTCCGTGACTAACAATCATTTATTAAAATGTACACTGTCTACATGTTATTTTGATCAACTGTGAGCTAACAATTTTAATGATAACTCAATCAAAAGATACTTGTTTTAAAACTCAGAGCCTTGGAGCCATAGGAAAAAAATGTTGGATTCAATTTTTAAACATTATTTTCTTTTGCAGAAATATTTCATAGGTTGATCAATAAGTGACTGCCAAACATAAAAGCACACTGCAATAAGAGAAAACTCTATCATGGAAATAGAATGGGTATAGGATATTTAATATGAAAAAGATGTGGCATAGAATTTCCTATTCGTGCAATTTTTTAAGTAGATGATAGTAGGTGTCAAATGCCTATGACATCTATAAGCCCCTGGGTTCATTTTAAAACGTAATCTATTACTTTATATTAAAATGTTCAATATTTATGATATGTGAGAACGTCCATCCTTTAAAACTATTTAAATTTATGAAGAAGAATTTATATCAATTTAAGAAATATGTAAGGAGTATATAATTTTTCAAAATATTTTTAGGGCATAAAGGAACACAAATTTCGCAGACCACTGTGTTTTCTTTCTTTCAGACGAAGAGCAGACGCGAGGCTTGGCACCCTTCTGCCGCTGGGCCATGGGCAGTCTGAGGAGCACGGCAGTAAGCAGGGAGGCCACACGCTCAGCAAATATATTTTTTCTTCCTGGCAACACTGGAACAGGCTTTCCCACACTGCATCTGGAGGCCACATGACTGCATCTGGAGGCCAATGGAAGGTGAGAAAGCTGATGTGCCCTTCCAGGCCAAAATGACCGTAATCAATATACCTTCCCCATCCCTCTCTCTTCTGTCTGCCAGCTGATGACACAGAGCACTTGACGCTCTGTGTTCAATGTGGCAGACCTGCAAGGTGGGTGGACTCCTGAGTCCCTGCTTAGCGGAACTGCCCAGAAAAGCCTCCTAAGCAAGAAGAACCACGGTAAACTATGTAATCAAGAGATACAGTACCCACACACTTGCACAGGTGTGTACATATATGTGCGCGTGTGTGGGACCACTCATTATCTGGACTGTACACCTTCGAACACCCCTGAGTAGGAGCTGATCCAGGAGCATCTTCTTCGCACATTGGAAGGCTTTCTCTTACTCCACGCAAGTGGTTCCATGTAAAACAACACCTCCATTTTGATCAGTCTGAATTTCACATGCTCATCAAACTGAGGCTGTGCTCATGGAGTTAACCTGTGTATTGACCAGAATGGTCCACTTTAAGCAAACATTCATTTGAATTCATAACCAAAACCTAAGGTCTGTCTCTTAAAAGTTCCAAACAAAATGAAGGCAAGAGTATTGAATCTTCAATCACAGGAAATGATGCAGATGGACCTTCCCAATACGGACATCATCCAGTCCTTTGAGAGCCCAAACAGAA